CATATACATGTGTAGTATTTTATTAATTGATGATACAATGTCTTTTCCATAAATGTTTATTACGATAATGTGCGTAAATATATGCTCTATAATTATTACTTTTATACTACATTAAAAAATCTAAACTTATATAAATATATTATACTTTGATTAATATGTACATTAGCATTTAAGAAACAGATTATTTTTTAAATTTCTTAATCAGAAATTGTTCTTAATATAATATTTCAAATGTGAAATGAAAATAAGAAAATATATGTTTATAAAATTTTTACTTTTAAAAAATGTAAATGATCAATTGTTTTGTAAAAATAATCAAATTTTTATAATTAATTTCAAAATTAATAACAATGTTTCTATGAACTTACTCATATTTTCTGTTTCTTAAATTCTAAAAAAATATTCTGATAAAGTAACATATATGTATATATTACTTTAAAAATAATTTTAATAAATCAATGTAATAAAACAAGTTACGTACTAAAAAAAAAGGAATCAGTAAAAATTTATTTTATTATTTATGTATTATTTTTTATCAAAATGCATAAATGTTAATTTCATTTATTTTTTATTTTATATATTTATATAAATGTAAACATATCTTTATTTCGAATTATAAACATTATTAAAACATAGAAACATAAATCCACCTCATGTACTTTACATAACATATATACAGTATTTCATTCTTTAATAAATATGAGATTATGTAAGCATTTTTATTATAATAAAATATATTTTCTAATAAGAATTTAAAAATGTTTATTATTTTAAATAAAATTATAATATTAGAAAAAGAAGTTAGAAAAATTATTAAAATTTAAATATTTAATGTTTTGAAAAAAAAATTCTGATTGAAATTGAAATTTAAATAATAATAATAATAATATAATAATGTTTTATTATATTTTTTATTTATTTATTTAAATTTACACTGTATTTTTCGTTTCATCTTCATTTATATCTTCTTTGTCTTTTTTCTTGCTTGATATTTTTTTCTTTCTCCGTCGTCTTCTTTTTTCTACTTAATAGAAGTTAATATTTTAATTTTTTTCTATACAATAATAATTTCAATGATTTTTCGAATTTTTTAAAAATTAAATTTGTACATATAATAAGATCTTGATAACTAATTCCTCGAATCAAATTTCTAACCGAAAATATATACAAGAACAATTTCTTTTTTAATAATTACAATATATATGATTTATATATTGTAATAATATTGTATAATATATGTATCTATGTATATAATCTGTAACTTTTTTTATAGATATAACATAATATTAATAATAGTAAATAATATAATATAGTTATATATCAATAATTTTCATATATATTGTATATTACTTTTTAAATAAATATACCTATTAATGTGATAATAAAAAATTTAATAATTTAGATATCTAAAGGAAAAATGAATTCATTCATTGTATTTTTTACATTTTTACGAAAGAAATTGAATAAAATTAAAATTAAATATATTAATTATTTTAATTTATTACCATTACATATAAAATAATTTTGCAAAAAATGTTTATTAAAATGAAATCATGTACCTTTTTGCTTAGCAATTTTAATATTCTTTTTCATTTCTGTATTATACATTTCTTGCTTTTTAGTCATCATAATTTCTCGAGCTGCTGCTATTTCATCTTCTAAGTACCATCGAAGAGGTCCTCTAAGTCGTCTAGATGTGATTAAGTCAGCCAAAGATTGCAATTCAATTCCTCGACGTAGACGTTTGTTAACAAGTTGCCTGTCAACACCTCGAAGATATTTACCTCGAAGACTAACTCGTTCTCGAACATTTCTTTGAGTACTTCGTTGATTGAAATTTAGAATATCGTCATGTTCTTGGATACGAATTTTAATATCAGGTCCTCCATTAGATAAATTATTTGAAGGAAAAAGTGGCATAGATCTTTTTCTCAATGCACTTAATTTTGGATCATAATTTTTGATATCACAACAAAATCCATAAGGTTTCACAAAAAATTCATTGTATGATGTACTGGCATTAAGTAGCTTTGTTCGATCTTTTTTCATGTTTTATTTAAAATAATTAATATTAATGTATTTTAAATTTAAACATGAAATATATGTATTAAAGCAAAAAGAAAGAAAAAGGAGAAAGAGAAATATGGTTTTTTTTAAAAAAATTAGGTTTGAAAAATTTGAAAGAACTATCTCGGAAAATCATTGTTTTTATGTTAAATAATAAAAGTTGTTACACATTAATCACATTATATTTTTCATTGCTCTTAAATAGAATAATATTATAAAATTAATAATGAAAGGAATTAAATATTCAATACAATTTATAAATTAAATAAGATTATTAAAAATTATTAATTTGTATATGAATAAAATATTTTCATCTTAGTTATTTTTTATGTTAAAAATTTATTGCTTTAATTATATATAATCTATCATCTATAATTTAAAATAGAATCACTTTAATATTACAATTAATTTTAATTTAGAATAATATAGAACACGTATTTATAGAGTATAAAAAAAGCGCTTCTCATGTTTATTCGTGTAAACGAATGATACTGTTTCAGGAAAATTTTGTACATGTAATTCATAGATTATTAAATAATACATATGTGAATTTGAAATGTTATTTATTTTAAATTTATTATAAATTATGAATTCTACTACTTTGTCATCTGGAACTTTGAGTCATTCACCAGGACAAAGAGGTACAGAATCCCAAGATTCAGAATTAACCTCTGTTGGAAATCAGACTTCGAAAATATTGAATCAAATGAAATCTGAGTTACAAGAGCAAAAACAACAGGATCGTTTACTTCGAGAATTACATTTAAAACGTGTTCAATCATTAAGAAAAGAATTAGATTATATTAAAGCTACAGAGTGGAGATATCAACCAATCGATCGGTATATCTTTATTATTGCAAATATATATTATAAATATACAATGTTTATGCAAATATTAATAAAAAACATAAATATTTATAGGTACATGGATAGAAATAGTAGAAATTAAACATGTTTTCATTTATATATACACTTATAAAATATACTATAGGAAATAAATCATCAATTGAAAATGAATCAGATGAAATAAATAATGTTATAGCACGCATTGAAAATGCTTATGAAAAAGAAATACAAGAAGATGAATATTTTAATAAAGATGCTAATTATTATAAAATAGGAAACATTACTTTGATTGACACAGATTATATAATAGTTGATGATTTTTATATTTGTGATACAGTGAATGTTTCTATAGATAATTTAAAAGTAGGTGATAGAGTTTATTACTTGCTTTTGCAAGACAATCATGGAACAGGATATAAAATAAAAAAAATTATTTCTGTGATAGATGAATCATGGGATAATGAAATAGCAAATTCTGAAATAAATGTTATTAAACCTCAAACATTAACAAAATGTATAATTGGAAAAGTTACAGAACGTAAAAATCGATTGTTAATTGTAGAACCTAATAATATTATTGTTGATTTAAACAAAGTACAATCTGAATTTATTCCTGTAATTGGAGATTGGTTAAAATTAGAATCAGAAGTAGAAATTGATGAAGTTTCTTATAATCTTAGTGGAGAAATTTTGGAAATAAAAAAGATACAACCTCTACGATCTAAGTTAAATATTGGAATTGTATCTTGTTTTGACCCAATTAAAGAAATTGGTGTTATTGGAAAAGATACTGTATTTAATAAAAGGATATGTGATACTGGTTACATTCCTTGCGTTGGTGATAAAGTAATAAATGATAGTATTGAGAGTGATCAAGGAATTTATACATGGAGGTCATTAACAGTAGTTCCAGTAATTCAGGTAAATTTTAAATAAATTGTTTTACAATTACTACAATTTATTAATTAGATAATTTTAGATGATAAATAATTATACATTTTTATTAATATTATAATATTATAATATTTGAATATTATGCATAAACTTAATAATAAAAAAAATTATGTACAATAAAAAAATATTTAAAATAAAATAAAACATATACATAATAAGAATAAATTTATTCTTTATAGACTTCTATAAAAAAAACGAAATTACCAATGTTATATAATACCTTTACATCAAAAAAGAATTTAAATGAACTTGCAAAAGATAAATGTGGTATTGTTATTAGTGATAATATAAATATTGATTTAAATATAGAAGAAGAAAAAAATGTAACAGTTACTATAGAAAATGTAGGTAATACTATTCATGTATTGTGCAAAGGTTGTTTTATGATAAAAAAAGCCCATTCTCAATTAACTTTAATGAAACCAATTATTCCTAATACAATCTTAAATCCTTCTGATAAATTAACTTATATATTTAAGTGCACAGCAAAATTTATTGGTACAAGCAAAGAATTATTTATCTTTAATTTCAAAGATTTTGAAATTGGACGAATTTTTAATATTACTATTAAACCTAAAATTATAAAAAATAATCATATAATAAAAATAATAATATTAATATCAATTATATACCAAACTTGGATGAATGGAATGAAGCTACATACATTCCAGGTATTCGTCCATGTAAACCACCATCATTTATTAAAGTACGAAATATGATATTTAAAGTTCCTAAACATTATTGGGATATAATATCAAAATGTATAAATGAAGGAAAATCACAAACTGAAAGTGAATATGATATAGGAAATGCTATACCTTGTTTATTAAATAGACTTTGTCTTGAATCATATAAAGATCGTTTTCATGCATTATTATATTTAGAAGAAATTGCACAAACAATAAACTTACAACAATATAATATAGATAGTACAATTATGAGACGTTGTGGAGAATATTTGGTTATGGAAGTACCAGGACTTGCAGAAAAACGTCCATCCCTTTTGGTTGGTGATAGAGCTATAGTATCTTTCAAGTGGGATAGTTCTCATGGTATGTTATGAAATTTATAATAAAATTATATTATATATTTATTCCAATAATTAATTACATAAATCTTATAAATTATATGAAAAAATCTTTTTATTATATAAATTATTAATTAATATTAATATTTATATATAATAAGGAAAAATCTTTCTATATGAAATTTAAATTTTAATGATGTTTGGAATAGGAAAATTAAAATATGAAGGATTTATTCACAAAATTACAAATTTGGAAATTTTTTTGAAATTTAATTACAAATTTCATCAAGAATATAATTATGATGATTGTCAAGTATCATTTAAGTGTTCACAATCTGTCATGCAACGTTGTCATAATGCAATTAATATGGCTGTACATCGTCTTGGTCAAAATTTTTTGTTTCCTACTCATGTAGTTGAAAAAGAATCTCAATTAGATATTGAAGAGTTTGAAATAAAAAATAACTCAACTTTTAAACAGACTCATCAACGGACTAATTCTGTATCATCAGAATCTTCTTCTACTAGTACTACATCTACAAGTAATAAATCTAATAGTACAACAAAATCGTATACAAAAATGTCAGTTGTACAACGATTATTTAATGTTGAACCAATTGAGCAAAATCTAGCAATGAAATCTGATATAATTGTAAAAGACGAGTATATTAAAACAAAGGATGGAATGAATATTATTAAAGATACAATGCATGTATTGCCAGATTCAAATTCTTCTTCTAATATTGAATTACAACCAATTATTTCACAAATGCGAAAACGAAAGTTGCATTGGTTTAATAAAAATTTAAATTACTATCAGAAAGAAGCTGTAAAAAATATCTTAAAAGGACATGCACGACCATTACCTTATGTGATTTTTGGACCACCTGGTACAGGAAAAACCATTACTCTTTGTGAAACAATTCTGCAAATTTTATCAATTATACCTGAAAGTCGATTATTAGTTGCAACACCATCTAATAGTTCTGCAAATCTTATAGCAGAAAGACTTTTAGATAGTGGTGTACTTAAACCTGGTGATATGGTATGTATTAAAATTATATAATTTTATTTTATAATAATTTTAAATGGATTCAATTTAAATTTTTAGTAAACAAATTTTCATAATCATAATTTTCATAACTTCACTGTTTGATTAATTATGAAAAATAAATAAGAATATATTTAAAGACAATTAAATTTGATATTGTTTTATCATATTTTTTAGTATTCATGCTATACTAATTCTACTATATATAAATAATTTGGAAAAAAAACTTTGCTTCTTTTTATAGATACGACTTATAGCTTATCATTGCTTGGGTAATGATTCCATACCCAGTAAATTATTACCATACTGTGCCACTGCAGAATTAGCAGATGAAACAACAATTGAAAAAATAAAATATAATGGAGTAGGACCAAAATTAAATTGTACTATGAGTATACTTGGACGTCACAGAATTACTATTGGTACCTGTATTGCATTGGGAATATTAAATAATATGGGTTTTCCTCGTGGACATTTTTCACATGTACTAGTTGATGAAGCAGGTCAAGCAACAGAACCAGAGATTATGATTCCACTTAATTTTATTCATTCTGATTATGGACAAGTAGTTCTCGCAGGCGATCCATTACAACTTGGACCAGTTGTACAAAGTGGAATAGCAAAAAATTTTGGTTTAGACGAGTCATTTTTATTAAGATTGTTACGTCATTTTCCTTACCAAAGAGATCCTAATGGATTTGAAACACATTATGATCCTCGACTTGTTACGAAACTTATTGTAAATTATCGAAGTTTACCAGAAATACTCGAATTATCAAGTTCATTATTTTATAATTCTGAATTAAAAGCGCAGGTACATTTATTTATATCATTAACTTAAGTTTTTGTCATAAATATTATGGTAATTAAAATAAATATTTTTAGATATCTTCTAAAAAAAGTAAAGAAGCAAAACTTTTACAAACATTAGCTTCTGAATTGCCGAAAAGAAAAGGTATTCCACCAGCTATAGTTTTTCATGGTGTAAATGGTGAAAATTGTAAGGACAATGATAGTCCAAGTTGGTATAATCCTGAAGAAGCAACTCAAGTATATCTTTATTTGTTAAAGTTATATAAATGCGGTCTTTCACCCGATGATATTGGAATTATAACTCCTTATCAAAAACAGGTAAAAGAGATAAAAATAAAATAAAAATATTTATAAGATTATTTTATATTTCATTTATTGATACAGGTTCTTCAAATTCGTGAATTACTTTTGGAATTAAATATAGAATTACCAAAAATTAGTAGTGTTGAAGGATTTCAAGGTCAAGAGCGCAATGTTATTATTATTTCAACTGTACGATCTTCAACTAATTTTGTAAATGAAGATATTAAACATTCTCTTGGATTTGTTGCTTGTCCTAGAAGACTTAATGTGGCAGTTACTCGAGCTCGTGTTTTAGTTATTATTTTAGGAAATCCCAAACTTTTGGCACAAGATCCATATTGGAAAAGCGTTTTAATATATTGTATTAATCAAGATTCTTATACTGGATGTAGTTTCGGTTTTTCCAATATAGAAGACTCTTGGATAGAAGCAAATAATTCTTTTATCAGTGATGAAATAAACAAATCATGATAATTCATGGCAATATTCATTAATTATATCTTTTTTTATATCTATCGCACAAAATATCTGTTATTAAATTATAAAATTACATTTTATCAAATATACATTTGATTTTATGTTTATATATGTTTTTACGAAGGAATAAATAATATTATTCATATTATGATTTAATATAATTATGCTATATGTTAGAAATTATTTTTATACAAATTAATGAAAATTTTTCATAAAGAATTTAATTTTTTAAATAATAAATTTATATTTTTAATTTTATTATTTTAAAAAAATTGATTTCTAATTTCTCGAGATTATTGCATAGCAAATAAAGTATGTATTTTTTAAGTTAAAAAGAATCTTTTTGTTAGAATTATAAATATTCGAAATTAGAAATGTAGAAAAAAGTATCGAATTATATGTACTTTCTTTTTACACATTTCTTATAATGAAATGTATAGATACATATTACAAAAAGTATAATTTCATGTAATAATATACATATATGTATATTTATACAATTTTTCCACAAATATATTTTTATTCATTCAATTTAAAAAAGAGTTTGAATAAAAATATATTCATTTTACAATATAACTCTGACTTCAACTTACATATATAGAATTGAATTATTCACTGTCAGATGTTCTGTTTACAGTTTGAGTTAAATGCCTTAGTTAGTATCCTTGCATATTATATCATGATGTCATAAATCCAAGTTCCACGAGCTTTGATACTATAAAAAGATAAAATTTTGTTATGATGTATATAAAATAAAAAAAATTAATTTCATTTAAATAATAAATTTCATTACATTCATTTTTTCAAATTACATTTGAAATCTGAAAATTTTACATACTTTTGATTCATATATACATGAATGATTTGATTAATGAAAAAATTAAATTTATATATTGTATGGAATATAATATGAACATATTATATTTTTACAATGTAATAGTTTAATTTTAAAAAGTTAATGATTAAATATTAATATGTTATATTATAATATAACTTTTCTTTTGTTTTTATTATACAAGAATGAAAAATGATAAATATGATATAATTGTTAAAAAAATGTAATGATTAAAAAGTAAATAATGATTCAGTAATATTTTGATACATTTTTTAATGTCAATATTATTTTTTATTGAAGAAAGTTTTAAATTTTAAATTATTTTAAGTTAATTAGATGACAAAAAAAAATTACTAATGTGTGAAAATGATTGTGAATGATACTGACCTTAGTTAGTTCCACACTATACTTACAGGATCTTGATTTTTAGCTTTTAATTTCCGTTCAATTAAATTTTCTAATGCTTCACTACGAACACTTAAGGTTTCAATTTTTTCAACTAGCTGTTGATAAGGTGATGCAGGCTGTCCACCCATTACAACATGTCCTAATTTGCTATCTATTTTGGCATCTAATCGTGCATTACGGATTAGATTGACAATCCAGCATTCTGCTACATCTGCTTTCATATTAAGTTTTTCTGCAAGCATTCTGTAATATAAAAATATATTAAAAATTTTAAAAATATGTTTTATTATTTTTTTAATTATAAAATTAGATGTAAAATTATTATATACCCGATACTTATACATTGATGTATTCTACAGAATGTTTCAAAGATCATTAAACGAGCATTTTCTACAAATTCACTCAACAATGCAATCAAGAAAAAGTCATTAAACACAACTGTTTGACATTCTTGTAATTTTTGTCTTGCTCCATCAAAATCAAAATTAACATATAAATGTTCTAAAAATTCCGTAATGGGATCACGATATGTATAAGATTCCTATTAATAAATACAATAAATAGAATATTTATTATCTTAAGATTATATAAAATTTTGTTAATTAAATAACATTTTATCATTAAATCACTCACAAACCTGTTGTATTACTTTTACAAGATCTTTTAATATAGATCGTCTAGAACGATTAACAATGACAGCTGCTGCTAAATATCTCAATATATGAGGACACATTGTTTGAATTGCATTTAAGTAACTGTAATGTAATAAATGTTTTATTATACTTACTACATTATTTTATTTTAAGAAATATTTATAAAAAAGTTAACATACTGTGGTCTATAAAGAAACATTTCTACAATTAAATCTCTGCCTTTCACATGATTAAAAAATACAAATAAACTCCAATGAATAAGCCATGTTCTTTGTTGTAATACTTGAAGAGAATTTCCTATCACATTGCTATCAATATATTCTCTCAATTTGTTTACATCTTCTAATGCAGTTTCCCAATTTTGCACTAAAATTTCTGATGCCAATTTACCCCAAAGTACATTTAAATAATTCTAAAAATTATATATACTATTATTATTATAATAAAATATATTATTATAAAAATAAATCAAATTTATAAATTATTCTATATATATTAAATTTATTATATAAATACCTTATCAGTTGGTGGCATTATAAGCATATAGAAATACAAATATGATGTAGAAACAGAGTAATTACCACATTCATAACGATATTTTGCTAATTTCACAAAACTATCCATCATTTCCACTCTGAACTATAAAAGCATATATATAATGAATAAATTTTGATAAAAATTATTATATTATTCATATAAAAACATGATATTAATTAATTAAAATTATTATGTATAATTATATATAATTGAAAAATTAAAAATATATTGATATATGAATTTGTACTTTCACTTACATCAGATTCTTGAGTAAGATAATTATTTAATGCTTTAGAATCTCTCATATTTTCCATTTTCTTCATAACTTCCTCATTATTCATAAGTGCCACAACAACAGACACATTATTTTGTAAAATACTAAGTTCTTGTAGTACATCTGCACGACGAGCTTTTAATTCCTATGATTTAAATTTTTCAATCATATTTATTAATTACAAACATATATTATAGATTATAATTTACAATTATTTATACCTCAGGTACTTCCAAGTTAGGATAAAGTTGTTTTCGAATATCAATTGTATAATCTATCATATTTGTTTTGCTAAGAATATCAAGCTTAGCTTGTAATAATTCGTCTTCATCGTAAATCTGAAAAGCACAAGTGCATTATAACCAAACCATCTAAAGCAAAAATATTTTTTATTTTATTATACCTGTTTCGCAGATAAGAATTCTAAAAGTGGAAAAACTAAATGTCGATCAAGATATTGACCTATACGCGATGTTAAATCAAATTTCGCCATTTCGTTTTTTTAAGAAAAATCGAACGAAAGCGGTTCTAACCACAATCTAAAGATAAAAATGGAGCCGATCAAACGACCACGCTCCACGTTAATGTCAAAGAATGTAGAATAGATTGAACAGAAAGTTTCTATAAAAGTAGATGGATTTCGATGCTAGCGCTGCATTATGATTTTTCAAATGAATTAAACATTTTATCATCGTTTAATTTCAAAAATGTATAATGTATGCTTTATATTTCTACAATTGAATAATACGATGAATGATAAGATGAAACAATAATATATTTTTTAATAAATTCAATTTAAAAAATTGTTTACAATTGTATGAAAATATATTTATATCGTAAATTATTAGATATTTTTAGTATTATCTTAATCATTTATATACTTATATTAAGATTAAAAAAATAAAAAAGTAATTTCAATAAAATATTTATTTAATTTATAAAATAATTTCATTAAAAAAAATAAACAAGAAGAATAAATAAAAGAAATAGATCAAAAACTAGATTAAAATTAATGCCATCTTTCGAGTAACTTCAGAGATAGCGTTAATTTTCAATTCTCATCTTATCTGATCTTAAGTAGATGTATTCTGAAAGAGATATCTTTAGCACTCGAGAGATGCCGCCAAAAGTCAATTTTTTATTCTATTTCTATCTTTTTCCTACTATTTGCTGTTTTTACTTACTGTATTTTGATATTTTATTTATGGCATTCTGGAGATGGCGTTGATTTCCATATTTTTAGTTTATCTCTATCTTTCTCCCATTGTTTATTCTTCTTGTCTATATTTGCTTTTAACATTTGATACAAATGAAGTATGAAATGTCAACTGAATATATTCTTATTATTTCTCTTTCAATAGAAAATATTAGAATATATATAGAAAATACTAGAATACTAGAAAATATTTTAATTTTTAATAAAAAAAAATGTAAACAATATATTCTCGATTTTACAATAAATTTCTAGGACGAAATCTCTAGGAAGCTCGCAAGACGTATATTCTTACATATAATATTTCGTCAAGGTATATCAAATAATTTGATTTTTTGCACGATCGATAATTCAGAACATGAGAGAAATCTCATAAGATGGTAGGTCTCTATTCTATATCTTGACTGTGGTTCTATGATCCAAAAGTAAATTTCTGTTCACTTGTAAATTTTGTTAATAAATTTTCTGCTTTTAATATTTGTAAATATCGATAAGTGAATGAAATGCCACCTAAAAAGACACCTGCTCCTAGTAAAAAAGCGGAACAAAAGAAAAAAGAAAAAGTTATCGAGGTATATTTAAATATTTTTTCTAACCTTAAAATATTACACTATATTTTAAACATGTGTATTTATCGAGATTTATTACTTTTTGAACTTTTTCATAATATCATCAATTTTTTATAGGATAAGACTTTTGGTATAAAAAACAAGAAAGGTGCCAAACAACAGAAATTTATTCAACAAGTAGAAAAGCAAGTAAAATCAGGTGGTGTTAATCCACGGAAATTAGAAGATCCTAATATTAAAAAACTTGAAAAAGAAAAAAATTAAAGGAGCAAAAAGAATTAGCGCTTATATTTAAACCTGTGCAATCACAAAAAATAGATAAAGGTATTAACTGAAATTGCAACAGTTAGTTATAAGATGTGAGATCAAAAATTATTTAAATATATTATATTTTTATAAATTATTATTTTAAATGTTTTATGATTTCAATTTGCTTTACTATGAGCAGATATAAACATAGAATTTAATATATTTATTTAAATTTTTTTAGGAACTGATCCTAAATCAGTAGTATGTGCATTCTTTAAACAAGGACAATGTACAAAAGGTGATAAATGCAAATTTTCTCATGATTTGAGTGTAGAGAGAAAAGCAGAAAAACGTTCATTATATTGTGATATGAGAGATGATGATAAGGAGACTGATACAATGGATAAATGGGATGAAGATAAATTAAAAGAAGTTGTTGAAAAAAAGCATGGCAGTGGTAATCGTCCTACTACAGATATTGTGAGTTGAAGTTTATTGTAATATTTTAATTTCATTTATATAAAAACAATATTTAATATTTTTTAAATTTTAGATTTGTAAACATTTCTTAGAAGCAGTTGAAAAATCAAAATATGGTTGGTTTTGGGAATGTCCATCAGGACAAAAATGTATTTATAGGCATGCATTACCACCTGGTTTTGTTCTTAAAAAAGATAAGAAGAAAGAAGATAAAAAAGATGAAATTTCCTTGGAAGATTTAATTGAAACAGAACGAGCTAATTTAGGACCAAATCAAGTATAAATATATATATATATATAATAATCTAGAAAATTATATTTTATTAAAGTATTTAACATATTTTTGCAAAATATATAATAATTTATTAAATGTTTTCCTAGACTAAAATAACATTGGAGACATTTTTGGCATGGAAAAAAAGAAAACTAAAAGAGAAAAAAGAACAGGCATTGAAAGATGAAGAAAAAAGACGAAATGATTATAAAGCTGGACGTCAAGTTGGTATATCCGGTAGAGAAATGTTTTATTCAATCCTGAACTTGCAGCTGGAGATGGTATTTTTTTTTATTATTTTACATATTATGTAATTTATGTTATTATTATAAATATACAATTTATTCTGAAAATAATTTTAGGTATTGATGATGGAGATGAAGCAATATCTAGTTATGTTCGTGAGGAAGACGAAGCAGAAGAAAAAGTTGAATATAGAGAACTTGATATGGACAGACTTGCACTTGAAGCTAGTGAAATTGATACTTCTGGAATAACTGTAGCTGGTGCAGATCGATTGAAAAATAATAAAATTACAAATGAGAATTCCACAGGTATTTAAAAAATATATTGTTTTAGTATGATATCCTCAGAATAATATTAATAATATTATACTTTTTTTATTTATACTTTTATGATAGTTACAATAGGTGAAGGTGCAACTGCATTAGCAATTAATGAAAATTTGTTTAAAGAGGAAGATTTAGAAGGTTTAGAAGAAGAATTAGAAGATTTAGATTTAGAAGAGTGATTCATATATTTCTTTCCCCTTAGTGTCTTCGTTTATCTGTATCTTTACAATACATACATTATAAACATTATATATACATTCATTAATTCAAAATGCAATATCTTGTATATTATTACTTACATCTTATATTCTATTTTCAAGCAATATACTTATATACAAAGTACATGTAAAGAGCTGGTCTCGTGCAAGTAACTTGAAATTGAAATTAATATATTTTAGTATAATTTATGATTTTTAATTTTTTTACGATTAAAAATATATAATCGAATTTATTGTAATTGCATTTATATATTAATTGACATCTCTGCGAGTTAAAAAATATATAAAATGTTATAATTATAAATATATTTGAAATAGTAATAGTTTTTAAATCATTTTTAATAGTTATAAACTTGAAATTGAAATGTAATATGATAACGAGACTAGCAAATAAAACAAATCATTTTCACAAAACATTAAAAATATTTATAACATATGTAATTATTAATAATAATATAAATATTACATAATTTATAAATTCATTTCATTTTTTAAGATCACAATGTTTCATATATGTGAAAAAAACAGATTATAGATTATTGTTATTTATAAGATTTTTATCTATAAATATATAATTAATAATTTTTCATTAATTTTTAACAATATAAAACAAAAATAATTAATTGCATCATATGAAAAAAGTTATTTGAATATTTTGTTATAAAATGTTTTGTTTATGTTATAAAATTATAAAACATAGTTATTATAGTATAAAAAATTTTCATAACACATAAATGATATAACATTCAAATAATATTTTCATACATAAACTGATTTAGAAATAGTGCGATGTCCATATATTAATTATAAATATAAATATAAATATAAATATAAATATAAATATAAATATAAATATATATATATATATATATATATATATATATATACATATATATGTATATATATATATACATATATATATGCGAATAGAATAATAGAAATAAATGTATCATCAAAAAAAGGAAAATTTATTTAGCTTATATTTAAATAATGTAATTTAAAGTTTTCTATAAATATGGATAAATTTTATAAAATACCTCATATAACATTAATATATTATTTACAAACAAAATATGTAAAAATTTTATATTTTACTTAATTGCAAATTTTTATATTTTCATAGTTTCATAGTTTTAAATATAATCATATTATATAGACTGATTTAATCATGATTAATTAGGATATCAAATATAATATGTATTATCTATTACATTATTTTATTATTAAACAGAAATCCATTTATTATTTAAAATTTAATCTACACATTCTACGATTTCTATATCTTTTGAATAAGATAATGATACTATGCGTCGAGATGCACGATAATCATAAAATTCTATATCTGGATGCTTTTCTAATAAATATTTATATGCAGTAATAAGATTATCAATATCTTCTATTGTTAATTCTACTGGTCTTGTTTGTGGATTCAAATCAGCAAGTTTATACATCATTTGAGCTAATTCAGTTCGGTATTCTAAAGGAAATAATAATAATAATAATATAATAATAATAATAATAATAATAATAATAATATATATATATATATATATATATATATACATATACATATATATGTATATATATATATACATATATATATGCGAATAGAATAATAGAAATAAATGTATCATCAAAAAAAAGGAAAATTTATTTAGCTTATATTTAAATAATGTAATTTAAAGTTTTCTATAAATATGGATAAATTTTATAAAATACCTCATATAACATTAATATATTATTTACAAACAAAATATGTAAAAATTTTATATTTTACTTAATTGCAAATTTTTATATTTTCATAGTTTCATAGTTTTAAATATAATCATATTATATAGACTGATTTAATCATGATTAATTAGGATATCAAATATAATATGTATTATCTATTACATTATTTTATTATTAAACAGAAATCCATTTATTATTTAAAATTTAATCTACACATTCTACGATTTCTATATCTTTTGAATAAGATAATGATACTATGCGTCGAGATGCACGATAATCATAAAATTCTATATCTGGATGCTTTTCTAATAAATATTTATATGCAGTAATAAGATTATCAATATCTTCTATTGTTAATTCTACTGGTCTTGTTTGTGGATTCAAATCAGCAAGTTTATACATCATTTGAGCTAATTCAGTTCGGTATTCTAAAGGAAATAATGTTCTAAAAAATAAAAGAAAGTTTTAAAATTGTATTATTAAATTTTACAATTTCATAATTATATTTAATTATCTTCGATAAATTAACTTACTCAACACCTCGTATACTGTATTTTTGACGAAAACTAAAAATGTGTCGCGTTACTTTTTCAAAAATTGTAAATTCATGTTTTGTTCGTGGAATAGTTAAAGGTATAAATGTTACAAGACCAACATCAACTTTTGGTTTAGGAATAAAGGCTGTACCTATTTTTTGTAAGAAAAAGTAAAATAAATTTTATGGAATATGATTAAAATTCATAAATTATATAATTCATAATTATATAAAAGTTTAATAATTTACCTGGTATAATAAAATGTAAAATTGGATGTGTCCACGCTTGTGCCATTACAGATAATCTACATCTTTGTATATCTAATGGTTGAGCTATTAAACGTTCAGCAACTTCTTTTTGAAATGTTAATGTCATTCGAGTTTTTCCAAATGTCCATGGACCTCTTTTTTCACTAATTGCATGTAACCACTTTATTATAAGAGGTGTTGAAACATTAAACGGTAAGTTACCAATTAACTTAATTCTTGGACATTTTTCTGTCCAAGCTTTCATTTCAGTTGAAGGAAAAAAATTATTCATATTTATTTTCATAATATCATCAAAGATAATTTCCATTTTACCATTAACAGCTGCAAAAGCATCTGCCAACATTTCTAAGGTAGGTTTAAATCTTTTATCTTTTTCTACAACAATTAATTGTTTTGGTTGAGATTTTAGAATAGATCGAGTCAATGAACCAGGACCAGGACCAATTTCTAATACATGACAATCAGTAAGATTTCCTGCTTTTTTTATTATTTTATCTGACAAATTTTGATTTAAAATAAAGTTTTGTGAAAGTTCTTTCATTGCTCTTAAACGATATATTTTCAATATATCTCTTATATTTGGTAAAGGTGGTAATCTTATAGTGGACATTTTCTTTTTTTCTTATTAATTTTTTAGAAATAAAAACAAATTTAATTAATTTATATATTTTATAATATTTCAATATTTGGATTTCATTGTTTTATAATTTATACTTAAATATAACGAATTATCCAAAAATAATATTCTACACATTAAAAATATATTTCTAAGCAATATTTGTATCTGATTTTGTTTTTTCAATTATTTTTTCAGGTTCATTTAAATCATTTAAGAAAGTTTCCTGTTTAACAGCATGTATAGTATACAAATAAATTCCTAAAGCTACACTAGCAATAGAGATTCCTGCTACAGTACATCTTGTACGAGTTCTTCTATATATAAATGCTTTTTGAATAGCTATTTCTTCAGCTTGTTTCATATATATTAAATCACTGTATTTTAGTTTATTTTTATCTCGTACAAGATCTAATTTTGGCATGAACTCGCTATTTTTTTCATCTGTAAATAAAATAATAAATGGGATATTTACAATAATATATACTTAATAAACATTTATCTTGTCATTCACCAGCTTGCATCTTCTAAACTTCTCTTCTCGTAACTTGATACGTAATTGTGTTATTTTTTTATTATCTTTTCCTTTTGTTTTTATTCCTAAAAGATAAGGTTATGTAATCATACAATATAATCTTATAAATTTAATTTATCTTTATAAAATAATTATTATATGTATGTATACATTCTTGTAAATAAAATATCTATATTTTAATCAATAATGCTAAAATTGTTTAAATATATATATTGTAATATTTTTTACGATAAATTTGTTTAGGTTATGATGTATTATAATTCTTTAAATTTGAAATATCACATATAATACAATTTATTATATAAGTATTTATATATTTATATAGGATATGAAAAAATACATATACATTTTTTAAGATATAAATTTAATAATTATATTAATAAAATATATCATACCTTCAGTTTTAAAATTCTAAAATGATAATATATAGTACAATTACATTAATCCCAAACGCATGCGTAATTCATACGTCATTGGTGTATATATAAAAGTATAGTATAGTACATAATAATGAAATAATTTTAATAAGTATGAATTAAAGAGATTATGAAATATGAAGTAAAAATTAAATAAAAATAAAAAAAATAGAAACATATAATAATAAATAAATAAATTAATTAATAACATTGTTTTCAAATATTATAAAAATATTTTTCTTCTATGTAATATGAATTAATAAGGATAAAGTTATGTTTTTAAAATTAATAAATATAATCTAAAATAGTGACAATTGATATTCTAAATAAGCGATGATCAAGATAAATTTTAATGTTAACATACATTACATATTATATAATAATGAATGATAAACTAAAATAAATAATTTGCATATATATATATATATATATATATATATATATATTATT